CATTTCAGCTGCACTATCCTTTTTGTTCTGTGTACCTGCTATGCTCGCTCCTTTCTATCTGAAGGTCTCCACAGTTTTGTCTCTGCCTGAACACTGAGTACTCAAGTCATCACATGGCTGACTCTCTTTCCTCTCTCAGATATTGGTATTAAGGTCACCTTCTCTGAGGCCCACACAATCTAAAATAAACTTTGCCTGCCTAAGCCAAATTCCTTTCATATTAACTTACCTTTATTATCCCAGTAACAGTTACAATTTTTTCAGATCATCTTGTTAATTTATTTTGTGGTGTGTTATTCACTACTGTATCCCTAGCACACAGATCAGTGCCTGGTATTTAATTAAGTTTAGATATTCCCTGCTTTTTCAAAGTTCACTTTACACCACTCTGTTTTTACAAAAGACCTACTTTAGTACCTGTTTTCACTAACAGAAAGAAATCCAAAGAGGATTTTCACTTTGACAAAAAAAAGGCCAAAAGCAAAACTAGCATTCAATGTTTGTTTTGCAGTGAGCCATTCCATTAAAGAGGTAGTGCACACCCCAAGCAGCATGAGTGATGTTGGCAAGCTCCTTCCCCAGAAACTACACTCAGCATATCTCAGCATCAAGCCAACAGAGCTTTGAACTGTGTCTGTAAACACTATATGTTAGTGTTATTTTAGTCTTTATAATATGTTATTTGGTATGATTGATAGGTTATTTTTTTGAGTCTGGGAACACTTAAAAAAATTTACCATAAAAAGTAATGGTAATTGCTTCTTTACTTTATGCCGTTTCCAGTTATGAAAGGTTTATAGGAACACTCTACTTTTGGGTAGTGGGGGAAACTTATTTCCAGTAATTATTCATTTGAAAGAATGAATGCAGGTAATGAATGAATATACATATATACCAAACCAAACCAAACTCACGGCCATCAAGCTGATTCTATCAAATTGATTCTGACTCACAGCGACTCCCTTTGGAGGAGTTTTGTTTGCCTTTGGGTTTCTGAGGCAGTAAATCTTTACGAAAGTAGATTGCCCTGTCTTCCTTCCATGGAGCGGCTAGAGGATTTGAACCGCCAACCTTCTGGTTAGTAGTCAAATGCCTCTGGCATTATGCCACCCGGGCTCGCTCGCGCGCACTCTCTCACGCTCACACGCGTGCGCTCTCTCTCGCTCTCTCTCTCTCTCGCTCTCTCTCTCTCTTGCTCTCTCTCTCTCTCTCTCTCTCTATTGTTGTTGTTATGTGCCGTCGAGTCAGCCCGGACTCATAGTGACCCCTCCTTGGGTTTCTGAGGCAGTATCACTACAGAAGTAGGATTGCCCAACCTTCCTTCTGAGGAGTGGCTGGTGGGTTTGAACCGCCAGCCTTCTGGTTAGCAGTCAAGTGCTTTAGCCACTATGCTACCAGAGCTCCTCTCTCTCTCTCTCTCTATATATATATATATATTTACATGATTTTCAATACATACCAGAAACACAATAATTAGAAAATTACCTGTTTGGTGAAAAATTAATTCATTATATATTATCTGGGACAGTGTTTATAAATGAAAGGACTGCTACTCTGTGTCTTTATATCACAATTTTATTAAATAAGATCTTTAAGATATTTTTGTATCTGGGTCTTTTCTCAAGGCATACTAATACCAGATGAGTTTCTGTTTCCACAAATAATATTATTTTTCTAGGTAACAAAACTATAGTTGACTGTATGGTAGACACAGTATCTTCTGACTAATAAAAACATTACAAGAAAAAAAAATGCTGCAAATTCTTAAGAGTAACTTTCTCATTTCACATTAAAAACAAGCTTATGAGGCACCAAAGGTATGTGGATGGTTGTTATGGATTAACTTGCGTACCCCTCAAAAACATCCTAACCCCTATACCTGAGAATGTAATCCTGTTTGGAAATAAAATTTTCTTCACACCAGCATAGTTGGGTTCTAAATCTAATCACTTCTGGGTTATAAGAACAGCAGATTAGACACAAGAGACACACATACACACACAGAGGAAGACGGATGCCACGTGAGGGGTCATCAAGAAACCAAGGAACAGCCAGGTCTACCGACAAGGAAAAACTGACATGGCTGAGACTCTGATTTAGACTTTTAGCCTCCAGAACTGTAAGAAAATAAATCTCTGTTCTTTAAAGCCAAAAAAAAAAAAAAAAGAAAACCAAGCTTATAGTAAAGTCTGTATAAGAGAGGCAAACAAAAACAAGCTATAAATTAGGTCACTAGACTTATCATATTTTTGCAAGAAACTTTTATAATTTTTGGCTAGCTTTTAAGCTAGCAATATAAAATGTCCCAAGACATTTGCTGAGTTCAGGAACTGAAGTTTTGACAGGGTCAAATGAAATGTCCTTTGTGATCTCACTGAACATTTACCCACATACTCAAAAATAAAGCATTCCATATATCTAAGTCTGTGCTTTCAATGACACATTAAATACTTTATTTTTAATTAGGCCAAGCTATTATTTTATTTTCAATGGTCCTTATTTCAAGTTATAAAGTTCTAAACTTGTTCTCTTTTCTGTATTAGGAATGATTTTTATTTTTCTAAAACTGTTTCAAATATTTCTCTCTCAACTAGTTACTCTAGACATTTGGTTCTTAGAGAAAAAACATCATATTTAGTCTACCTACACTATTTATTTTTCATAAGACTCTGACTCTTCTCTCAGGCATCATCTCTTATATAAAATCACAGAACAGTCTGACCTCACAAAGATTTTCTTACAGGAGTCAGAGATAGTAGTAACTGAGACTGAGTTCAGGATCATATAAAAGCAGGTAAGACTTTTTAGTATTTGAAGAAGAACTGATGCAATAAAAGAAAGACATCCTAATATATTATGAAATATAGGGGAAATGAGCATAGATGAGTCTGATATTTATTTTTTAAATGTTTCTGTCACACAAAATTTTAAATAGTAACTAGTTGTTAATGAAGTTGATGTTTATTTTTCTAAATTATCAGGAAGTTGTCATAGCCTATTGGGACATTAGAGTGAAGAAAATCTAGAAAAGTGAAAATGGACACTTAGATGCAAACAAGATCAGTTATCATTTTCACACCAATAATTCTATGTCATGCCATAGTCTACCTGATCTGTCACTCACACAGAAAGTTATATTAAATAACATAGCAACTTGGAAAGGGGGAAAAAAAGACTAACATGGGCCATTGCCATATTCTATAATCACATTTTAAAAAACTCACAAAATTAAAAATGTTTTCTACATGGAATGGCAAGAGAATTATTTATTTTACCCAGTGCTATTTTAACCAGAAGATAGCATTGTTACTAGCCTCAATAATAACAGAACAAGTAGAGAACTAAGTTAAAGGTAACTTTATTACAATACTTTCCACACCTCAAAATGCATTTATTTGTTATTGAGTTTAGATCTAATATATAATACATTATATTACAAAGAAGAAGCATTTCTGATTAGCTATTTAACATCTATATATTGCCCAAAACATAGCTTCCTAGGAATAGCAGCAACACACATGTAGCTTTTATCACTAAGTAAAATATTTCTCTGATGTCTCATAAAGAATAACTCATATTGCAATTTATTTTTATGTTCATTTCCACTGATTTAAAAACAAAGCAAAGATCCCCCCCCCCATATCTTACTTATTAATACCTAGAAATTGTCTATACGCACAAACATTCATCAGCTTAGAAATACTTTCTTGGTAGAAGACAGAACTTTGAACATAACAAACCAAAAGAATGCTATCTCCCCATTGCAAATAGGGGCATAATTCTCTTCTTTTCTTTTGGAGTGGCCAAATCTGGGCCTCTTTCTCTTTATATAGCCAGTGTGAAAACTACCTGCTTTAAAAGATACCAACTCTACCATAAATTCTAATAAAAGTCTTCTCTGTTTAATCTTGCCTCCTCATGTTTGCTTACTTAGAATCAACCCACAAGACCACTGTAACAATGAATTTCAAAATAATCTTGTAAAGTGTAATAACATGAAGTAATTTTCAAACTGACAAAGATATTATTTGCTCATCCACCTCTGCTCAAAACAACCTACAAGTAAATAAATTCAATTTACAAAAAGAATGTCTTTCCAAGTTTGCTATCCTAATAACAATGGAAATAGATGTAAATCTATTGAATAGATCTAGTCCCTTAATTTGCTTTCTTTGGTTGCTACTGACTACCACAAAACATGTTCATCTTCCTTGTTGTTACAACAGTAGGAAATTGTTAGAAAAGTATAGAAAAGTTTCTACTTTTTTCATAAGGCAAATTTAATACAGATTTTGCTATGAAGTTGGAAAGAAAAAAAAGTGAATGAAAAGGTATGTGCTGGCTGCTTGGGGGGCAAGGTTCATAAATCACTGTACGTTAAGAGCACGTGCTGAAACTTCATGGTGCCAGTCACGTAATTTTGTATATTTAGGACTAAAGACGTGAAGGGGTATCTTTTCCCTGTGGAAATAAAAACAAAAAAGAGTGATAGAAAAGTCATAAGAAAGAGAAAGAGAAAGTTTCTACACTTAATTCAATTCATCATGCAGAGAACATGCCTTTTAGAAGCTCAATTTTACATAGCTGTTTTACTGACTAGCAAAGATTTTTCAAGAGTAGCACACTTTAGAAATATGAGATTAATCTACAGAACCTTCTTAGAAATACAGATTTTTAACCCCAAAATAAAGTGTCTGCAAGATGACACATGAACTCCTTCACACAGACCTGAACTGTTAGCAAAGCATTCCAAAATACAGCCTTCTGACTATATCTTATTTCAATTCTCAGGAATAAGCCTCAGACATAAAATCCAGACAATACTTACTAATTTAAAAATCCGTAAGTTGTACACTTAGGTCACACAAAAGGCACCAAAGTTAAATGCTTAGCTTCTAATTACAAAGACAAAATGCCATAACATCACACTTTGAAAACGAAAAACCAAAATGAGACCATTCATGAAAGGAAAGCATTCAATTCACAAAAAGATGGAGAACTTACTTTGCCTTCTTTGTGCTATCATTTTCAGATTCTTTCACTGAAAAATAATAAGCAATATTCAACATCACTTTACTTTAAATTTCCAAACTACTTAAGCAATTACCTGTATAAAAAAAAACAAAACAAAACTCATTGCCATTGAGTCTAATTCCAATCATCACAACCCTATAGGACAGAATACAACTATGCCATTGGGTTTTAAGGCTATAAAATTTTAAGCAAGCAGCTTGCCACATATTTCTCCCACAAAGCAGCTGGTAGGTTTGAACTGACAACCTTCTGGCAAGCAGCTGAGCAGTTAACCATTGTACCATCAGAGCTCCTTACTAATCAATACTAAATATTCACAGCTTCACAGAGCCACCAAGAAAAATTCCACACCACATTGCTATTGGCTATATACTATAGTCATTACTATTATTCTTTTCAATGTAATTCTAGCTAGGCTAATGCCTTTTTTACAATATTCTTATCATGTGTGGCATAATTTAAAAGCAAACTGTCTCAGGGTTGTTTTACAATAACTGTCAATCACTCTAAATTGATCTCTCAATGACAGAGAACATTCACCCACTAATATGCGTACGGTTTTACTTACGATGTTCAGTCCCAGTGATCTGGGCAAGGATTCGGAAAGAGCGAGACTGAGTAGTTCCAGTCCTTGGATGCCAGTCTTCAGTATCCTCAATCAGTCTCTTCTTGCTGGCATCACTATGGGTAGGTATATGATAAAACTCTGTATAGCGTTCCACAATGTGTTTTCGTGGTGGGCTAGGTTTAAGAAAGAAAATTAAAAAAAAAAAAAAAAAAGTTAAAACTCTTATCAAAAGGATAAAAGATCTTATGCCAAATTATTTATAATTTATACTTGTACTTCTCAATGTTCCTTTTATATAAGTCTTTTTGCTCTGCATGTATATAAAGTCTCTTTTTTCTTTAAAAAGCATTATACCAAAATAAGGTAGAGACTGGGCAATCTACTTCCATAGAGATGCCACCTCAGAAACCCAAAGAGGGGTCGCTATAAGTTGCAATCTACTTGACGGCAATGATTTTTTTTTTTTTTAGGTTTTATAAATTAATTATAACAATAATAATAATTAAAAAAAATGTACTCCCTGGGTGTTGAAAATGGTTAAGCGCCAGACTACTAACTGAAAGGCTGGTGGTTCAAACCTGCCAAGGGGTGTCTTGGAAGATTGGTCTGATGATCTGCTTCCAAAAGGCCACAACCTTGAAAACTATACAGAGCAATGCTACTCTGCACACACGGTATTGCCAAGAGTCGATGACCCAAAGGCAATTAAGAACAATAATGCTAATATGAAATAACAGCATAAGAATATATTCAGCAGAAAGATTACCGTTTAGGTGGAATTTTCCTTTTAATTGACAGAAGAAGGCAGCAGAAGAAAGATTTCCAACATGAAGAAAAGGAAAGGAAGAGGATAAGAAAAAAAGAAAATTAACTAGAAATTGAAACGTCTACAGTATTTAAAATCAAAATCACAATCAAAGTCAAACCATGTGAATTTAACTTGTATTCATCTTATGCCATCCAAAACATAGATCTGAACTACATTTGTAACCCATTTTAAATATCAATATGGTGTTAGAGTGGACTGGCTTTTGAAAAAGTAAATGATCATACCTTTACTAGGCCCAGGAGCCAAGAATGGTTTAAGACAGATTAAACTAGAAATTTTAAACATTACTTTGAAAAGGGTCAGTACTGTTAGTTCTTAAAATTTCTCATTTGTGTGTACAGATACCCTGTTTCCTAAATAAATGTGTTGTGCACAGTTAGTGGAGTTGGAGAAAAGCTGTGATGGCAACTACTGAAATATTTATCAAAAGACCTGGATTTAAATTTTAGCTCTATGACTTTTTAGACGTGTGATTTTGGCACAACAATTAATCTCAATGGGATTTGATTTTTCACGTATAAGGCAGAGATATCACATACAAAGCATGGCTTTTGTGAGGATTAAATAAAATATGTGAATGAGACTTATTATTATGATATGAGACTTATGAGTTTGCTAAGAAACATTCATTCTTCTATTTATAAAGTATAAATAAATATTAAAGCATTTACAATGTACATGATTTTGGCACTTTAAGTCAAGATCTATTAAAGTATACCCCACTTATCCCCTTGCCTCAAACTAGAACAAATGCAAACTGTTGGAGGCTATGAGTTTAATTTCAGAGAGAAAATAGAAGGTAAGTCTGAATTAAACCAACTAAATACTGGCATAAGATGAGAGAAGAAAGTATGCCAAGGGCGATGACATGAGAGTGGCAACTCCTGGTAGTTATAACTCACTGCTAAAAAGCGCAGTGCTCTCAGCATGCCACCACACTACTGTCATTTTAATAGTTACACTAGCAAAACTGTGCTCCTATTAATCCCATGTCCCATCTTCCCAGCCCTCCCATCTCCTGGTGATTAAATTAAGATCAATAACAGTGGCTGTAGAGTGAGGCAGGGATTGAAGCAATACATCCTCCCACTCAGTGTTTCATATGAGTCGCTTAGCGTCCCTAAGTCTCTATTCTCCCATATGTGAAATGTGAGTTACATCTATGTGTAAGGCTTGTTCTGAGGAATAAATTAGACAATGTATGTTTTGCACAGTACCAGGATACAGTAACAATCATTATAATGTATTCTCTTATGTTTACTAGAAAAAATATTTGCAATTTATGTTCTAAGAGGATGGCTCATCTGCATAAAGAACAGAATCAGTAATATTTGCATGTAAAATTAGTATAGACATATAAGTAATACTTAAAATTAGAAGCAAAATATCTAAAAGACTGTTCATTAATAGTGAACAAAACCTAATCCTTCTTAAAATAAGACAAAATGTTTAAAAATTAGGAAATAATAGGAATAGATTACTTTACACACCATCTTTGGGAAATACATATTCTAAAGCAGATAACTCTTTACCTTACGTAATTAACGTGAAAAAGTTTATGTTTCGCAGACTACTAAAATTATTATCATTTTACTTTTCTGTATTATCAGTCAGTGAGCATATTTTACTCTTAAATGGAATAAGTTTCAGAGACAAGACCATGTATCCTGTATGAAAGGTCTGGTCTATAGAAATGCAAAACAATGGTGTCAGGCTAAGACAGTAAGGCTAGTAAAATGACACTACTTGTATATTTTTTTAAAGTCAAAACACACTTAAAAAACACATTTTAGGCTCTTGTGACATTTACCACAGCCTAAGGATTATTTTAAGTGATATGGGGTTTCTAAACATTTACTTAGTACTTGATGATTCTACGCTCTGCTGATTTTATGATTAAAAGAGAGTAATTTTATTTTAAAAAAATGTATTTTGGATAGAACATAAATTTACCTATAAGAATAAACTATTTATTTCAACATATAGATGTTCTAAATTACTATTTTCATTCCAGTTTTTTTTTAAATATTGAACAAGGGAGGGTCTAACTGCATATCTATTCTGGTATACACTGCCTATAATACTTATCTCCCTGAAGGTTTCACTAAATTTTTCCACTGCAGACGTGTGGGGTGTTCTGAACACACCCACTGATTCATGTGAAGTTGTCTAGCATGAAAAACATGTTTATAATACTTCTTACTACATTTGAGATTTTTTTTAAATAAAAGATACTAACAAAGTTTGCTGGTGGTATTAAAGCTGAAAGCAGACAGAAAGTTACAGAGTGACAATAATGAAAACCACTGATTAAGTACTTACACTGTGTCAGGGTTACTGAAGGAGGAATAACACACAAAAAGAAAGACGTGAGAGAGTAGAGAAGACATTGATGCTCCCAGGATGATGAAAAACAGACAAAGATGAGGCCCCCCAAAAAAAGAAGAAGAAAAATGAAATGGCAAAATTCAAAACAATTTAGGTAAAGATTTTACACATATACCATGCTTTAAAATAATCATGTAAACACAAACAAAAATGGACAGACGTTAGTCAAAATTCTATCACAAAGCCATTATTAGGGCACTATTTTATCTATTTCTTTTGTTTCCAAGAGCAATAAAAAAATACTTTATATATCAATGCTAACTCAATTTTGAAGTTAATGAATACCAAGAAAGCAAGTTCCCGTGTATGTGTGTGTATGTGTATATATTTAATTTGTAGGGTTTTATTAATGTACTGAATAAAAATTATTATGGCCTAACAACAGGCAAAAGATAAAATAATTATTATATGTAGGTGGTAGAAACAGATCACTTAAAGCCTGGAGAGAAGAAAGAAAAAAATCTTTCAGACTTATATAATATAGCAACAGTAAGTTCAATCCTTTCACTAACTTATCCTAAATCATACATTATTTTTTAATAAAAGTAAAGGCTATTTAAAAATTTTCCCTTGTTTTATAAAATGCAGTGATTATGATGAGAAACCTAGGAAGCATAAGTGGGCCCTTTTCATAAATAATGGGCCACCACTCAGTCTTCATTTTCTCCCCATCCTTCACTATCACCATTCTCATCCAGCAAATACCAGTAAATTTGAAACTGATTTGTGGGAAACTTCATAGTTCAATATTATCAGTGATATAATTATTACTGAGAAAGGAAAAGGAACTGGGTTAATAATACCTGAACTGGGAGAATCTCAAAACACAATTCATTCACATACTCTATTAAGTATATCATTAAAAAGAAATATATTAGGATTCTACTGTGGTGGCTAAGGCACTTGACTGCTAACCAAAAGGCTGGAGGTTCAAACCCACTAGCCACTCCTTGGAAGGAAGATGAGGCAATCTACTTCCATAGTGATAATGCCTTGGAAACCCAAGGAGTGGTCACTATGAGTCGGTCCGACTCAGTGGCACATAACAACAACAACAACAACATTGTGGATAAAGAAGGCTAAAGTACACAATCTCTCTATAGTTTGTCAAAAAATACATTGTAGACCAATTCTCCTACAATGTAATTCCAGTAACTAGAAAGCCTTTATAAAACTGGGGGGGGGGGGCAGCAAAATACTGTCAGCTAGGTTTAATACTAAATACACTGCTGCTGTATTTCCACATGCCAAAGTCAGTCTAGTAAACTGGAGAGAGTTAAGTTTTGCTGAATGAGGGTGGGAAGGAGGAATAAGTTGATCTCAATAATTTACCTGCATTTACTCTTCTCAAGCCACAACACAAAGCATTCTCTCCTGTGTCTTTCTGTTTAGAATAGCAAGGAAACAATTTTGCAAAATTTAGCCTCTCCTGAACAAAGAAGAATTTTAGATGTATATGTAGACATCTGGCAGTTTAGAGAAAATGTTTTATATTACATGAAGTTAGGAGAGAAAATGTTCTATGGGATGGTAAAGGGCAGGGAAGTGGGGACTGAAAGGTTTCAATCTAAAGATGTCACTTTGAATATGTCAAACAAATATATTCATTTATTTTAGAAAATATTCCCAAATGGGCACATCATACAAAGTAGTGTCAAAAGAGCTAACATCAAAGCCAGATGACCTGGCTTCTTACCCTGGCTATTTTGCTCAGTTCTCTAGTGCCCCAGGGAAACCACACTCTACCAAAGCCTTTATTTTCCTCAATAATGAAATGGATTACAACTTATCTTTCAGACTTCTAATAAGAGCCTATGTTTAATATATTTGAAAGCCCTTTGAAAACTACACAAATAAAGGTTTCTGTCATAAACCGATAACCACTCCTCAACTGTATACACACGCACACACACATACACGCAGCTTTAATTCATTTAATTCATCAAGTCTATAATCATTAAAAACAAGTATCAATTCAAAAATAACAAAAGTAAGTCCAAGTCACAGGCAGCTGATACACAGGAAGGTACATCAAAATTGAGCTTCAAAAGATCGAGGCATGAATCCTGGCTCTACATCTTATATGCTGCATAATTTGAGAAAATTACTTAACCTCTCTGCATTCAGTCTAAATGAGAAGTAAATCACATAGTGCATTTAGAAACTCCTAGCATGATATATAGTAATACCTAATGAGTTAATGAATCTGAATATGGAATTAAAAGCATATACATTTAACTTAAATATTTAAATTTATTTCTCCAAGTCTCATTTCATTCCACTTTAATATCACATTGTTTGTTACCTTAAAATCTGGTTAACTGGTCAAAATCTTTGTGTACAGGAATTTAAATAGATCAAACAATAAATCCGATTTGAGGGATGCTTTACTAGTATATTGGTGTGCAATATTCCTTGATAAACAGTACATGGAACTATTTGGTAAGACCAGTGAAAATGGTATAAAGTTGCTTTAATAATTCAATAATTAATTCTCTTGGATATGTACAAGGTAGACATTTTTTATTTCCATTTCTGTTCTACAGTGTGATGATAAATAAACTTAACCACATGCTTTTTTTTTAATAATCATAACTTAACATAAAATTATTTTAAGTTCTTATCTAATGTGATTTTTTTTTCTATTTTTAAATCCAGTAACAACCAGACAGTTTAATGTCAGCACCTATACAATACAAAAGTGAATTTTTTTTAAAATTATACCACAGTGATTCCTAATGTTTCCAGGCAACTAACTGACTTTTAATATGTTGGTAATTACTTCTCAAGTAATTTCAAAGGTTTTGGTTTTTGAGTTTTTATAGGCTTTCTTCCATTTGCTGACACACAACTGCATTATGTAGTTCTAAACTCAAAACTGACACTGAATTAAAACTCTCTTAAAAAATCATGAAATTTCTTAAGAGATTTTACCAAGAAAACACTGGTTTGTGATATTAATTTAGAAATCAACTAAGTTTAATGTCTGCTATGTATTCACTAGTACTACAAATGTTTATGCTTTGTCTCCTATCTTTATATTTTGTCTTCCAGCAGCACTGCATTGTTTAAATAACACAGCAAACTCCACATGTATTTTATGAAGTTAAACACTACCATTTACTACTATAAAGCAATTCAACACAACATAGCAAAACAAACCAAACTTATTGAAACACTGAATGTGGTTATTCTAAATCACAGCTCTTTTGCAAAATTTATTTTGCAAAAATTGGCATTCATGCTGTTTATTCATACATAAATCACCATATATCCTCTCCAGTAATGTGGATACTAACTTTGTCACTTGTATTTTCTGCAAAGAGAAAAATATTTTTTTTTAAATATTACTAACATATCATTTTTTAATCTTTCAAGGCCAGGTTCTTCAAAATATCACATAGGAACTGTTAGAAGGTATTTCAGCCCAGTGAAACTGAAATTAATACAGAATACATAAGACTTACCTCTTAAAAGCAGTGGCACTTTATAATGCAAGGGCAAATGGAAAGGGAAAAGGTAAATCACTTAAATACTTGATGTAAAATAGATTCCATTTGAATTTGGAATATAAAGCGTTATTTTGCTCCAAGGATAGTAGTAAAGGAAGCAGCAAGCCAAGACAATGATTTCGCATATACAGGCGAAAGACTTAAAATTTTTCAAATGCCTTATATTATGTTATTTATAAGAGGGAATAGGAATGTTTGAATAGTATATTAAGAGATATTCTAAAAATATCAACATATGTTGAGGTTTCATACAATTATAATAGTTAATTATTTTTTATCAATTATTTCTTAATAAGTACTTGTTTGTCTCCAGATAAAGTTTGACACCTGATACAGAATATGAAGAATACACATTTGCTAATATCACAAAACATCTACTCTTCAAAACGACATATCACTGACTATGAAAGTGTGTGATTTATTTTTAATTTCTCTAATCTAAATGTAGTGAGAGAAAAGGCACTGTAAATTTGTCTTAGAATTTCACAGGCACCACATTTTGTTTTCAGAGTAGTCAAGTTCTCTCATTGTGCTAGCATCTGGACAACGTTTGAAATCCTTTTTTTTTTCCTTTTTATTGTGATTTGGGAAAAAGCATACAAAGTAGGTTGGCTTTCCATTCAAAAATTCATAAACATTTAGTTTTTTGACACTGATTGCAATCCCCACAATGTAACAGCTCTCCTCCTAATTCTTCCTGGTGCTTCCCATTTTCAATCATCCTTCTTTCCTGCCTGCCTTCTGAGCTTTATCCCTGGACAAAATCTGTCCTTCTGATCTAGTATGGTTGATTGTTCTAAGCAGGGCATATCTCCCTTATAGTCCTGTCTATCATTTAGGTGAAAGTTGAGCTAACTTTCAGACTTGAAGGGTAACGATGGGCTATAGTCTTAGAGGTTCCACCACTGTCTACAAGACTAGTAAATCTGGTCTTTTTTATGATTTTAAGTATCATTCCACATTCTTCTCCCACCCTATCCAAGACACCCATCCTATTGTGATCCCTTTCTGAGGAGTTGGCAGTGGTATGAAATTTATTTTTAAGTACACTCAGCTTGCAAATGCAAAGAAGTCACTTGCTTCTTAATAATTCAAGAAATGTAATAATCCTTTTTCTCCTGAATCTGTGCACAGTGCTGTACAGCAGGCATGTGTTCCATATTTACTTGTCAATTAATTGAGAGACAAGCATAAAGGGTCTACAGCTACACCACTGCCTACAGTTTCAGTTTGAAATTAACATGTTTTAAATAATTTTAAATTGTATCATCAAAATTGTGTTTATAAAACACAAAAACTAAGCTTGGTATTTTCAGACATTTTAAATCCAGAACTCTTCTATAACCTCAATTTGCTTTTACTTCTACAATTTCCTACTAAGAAGGTTTCTATGTAAAATGACAACAGTGTTAATAAGCAGAACGTGAATTTCAGTTAAGACACTTCCCTCAATGGACTTATGTCTATTAAATCTGGAAATTAATAAACATAGCAGACTTCTTTCAGTTTTCTGTAAGGCTAATATTTGAAAGGTGGCAGTCTTTCTTTTTAGGATATGTAGTTTGATTACTCTAAAAACTATTATCTTAAAATAGAAAGCAAAAAAAAAAAACACACTCAAACACAAATTTTTTTAAAAAACACACCTTAAAACTAAATATGTTTCTCATCTTCAAATAAAAGAAGAAATAATATTCTTCGATGGACATTAATTTTCCTCAATATATACATCAAAATGTAAAAGCCTCCCACAACCACACAACCATACCTAAGGCTCAGTAGCTGTTCTTCCTAGACCTCCCTCTGGCTTTTTCTCTAGCAGCATCTTGGAACCCTGCCACCTTCTCTTTCAAAGTCCAAAAGTTGCCATGGCAGCAATGATACAGAAAGCACAGTCCCTTCATTACACGAATTAACATTCGGAAGGGATTACCTCATAAAAAGGACTTATTTCCTCAATTATTTTATTTTCCTAGGAACTGGCATTGTAAGAACCATCACGCATGCAGATTATTTCCCTCTGTTTTTTCTTTTAAAGTACATTTTTTGTCACAATAAATCTAATCAGAATGATTCTCCAAAAACAACTTGGCTTTAAATATGGTCACCAAATTCAAAAAAGAATAAAATGACCATCTATAAATGGAGGCCAATGAAATTAAATGTGCAATTTTATAACTATGTGCTGCTCAAGCAAGTTAACATCTTTGACCAATTTTAGAACAGTATTTAAAAAATTCTTTTTAGGAAACAAAATTTGAGAAATATATTTTTTAAAATTATGCAAATGTTATATATATTATATGTATTGGTTTAAATGAATTAATTTTAGAAGAATCTTTACAATGAAAAGATTTTCTCATTTGCTTCTTGTGCTTTTTTAGCTTTTGTCTTCATGTGATTTTTTTTTAATTGTTGATATACATGTATATATCAATTCAAAAAATTTTTTAAAAATTTATATTTATATATATATAAACTGCTTTAAAGAATAAATTCTAGCTTAAGCTTACTGAAAAGAATGTTGCTATATATCTGCTATAAGCTAATGTGTCATACATGAGTCAAAATTAGAGTCAAAACTGTTTTTTGTTCTTTAGACTACTTCTGAGAAAATAAAAGCTGCTTATAAACTCCACATTTCCTCTCTTCTCAGGGTGAGCTACATAAGTTGAAGACAACTGTAACTGCTTTGTTTAAACTGCTGGTGACCAACAAAAGGATGGAAAAATTGAGGAAGAAATAATTCAACACTTGCCTTGCATTATAAGTGCCAGCTGCTTGATGTTGTGCCAAGACTCAGCAAAGAGTTACCAAGTATGTTATATGGGTCATAGCATGTCAAAATCTATTATTACATTTTGATTAACCTGTAACTGTCTTGCAGAAAGTGCTGTATTTATATATCATAAAGGCCACATGTTAATGAAGCAAATAAAACTTTATCTTCCTTCCTTCAAAAAAAAACAGCTAATGTTTTACGGATGTAGATGATTTCATGGAAATTGCCTGAAAGAAGTCTTTGATAAGAGCAGAAAGTACCCTTTTCTACCTACCCATTTTGCTGTTTACTGTCACCCTGGGATCCTCTTCTCTGTCCCTCTGCTAGCTCCTGAGCAGTCTCGGAACACACGTTGGTGACTGTGGGCTGCCATGGGACATTAACTGCAGTTTTAACAGCGCTCAGTGCAGGTGAACGCTGGTCAGCACTAAGATTGGCATTAGCATGCAGTCCAGATGTAGTGAATGGGGGAGGAGTGACAGCAGCCATGGGTGGAGGGGAAGCATGTGAAGAAGTGGTCACATGGGCTGAAGTAAAGGCGGACGATGGTGATGGGATGGATGTGACTTTTGGAGAAGACACAGAACCAAAGGGTCGTGGGGCCTTATTGTAGGCCGTGTTGGTTGTGGAAGTGACTTTGGACACAGCAGGAGATGTAATGGGCACAGGTTTAACTACTTCTTTAGGTTCTCCCTATGTAAAATAAAAATAAACAAAAAACACACCAAATACATGCAAAACATATTTACTAAAAAGAACACACAACTGACTTTTAAACAGACAAACACAATAATGTTAGCAGCCCCAAATTCATGTTTCCAGATAAAAACAGAGCTTACACAGCATAACATGCATGTTAACTGGTTTCAACATGCATAACACAGATGCATACACTAAGTACATATTTTATAAAAATTAAAGAAGTTTTAAAATATTTAGGAAACGGAGAAGGAAAAATGAAGGACATGATAGTTGTTCAATTTATACATATTCATTCCAAAGGAAAAAATTTTTTAATATCCCTAAATAAACAAAACATTGCTAACCAATTTTTTTAAATATGCAGAACCTCAATTCTAACTTCTTCCCTCAAACATGTTTAATTATTCTCTAGACTGTAATTTTTTGACTCATATAGAAGCAGCAGAATACTTCTAACTCTTCAATTAAAAAAAAAAAATGACGGGACATAAGATAATTTTAATCTAAGTGAGAAATGCATACATCTAATGTGCAAATTAATTATCTTGAAGAAAGAAATCACTAAAAAATCTATTAACAGAAAAAGAACAAAACAAAATCAATCCTTTCCTTCTGTAATCCACCTCTGTTTTTCACTCTATGGAAAGTTCTGAGATATGATTCAGAGATAGAATAAAGTTCTTTCCCTTTTCATTTCCAAAATAAATATTTAATATTACATGAGGAAAATAATGAACTTAGACATTTCCTCACTGCCATCAGCCAAAGAAAAAATAACTAGTAAGAAAAATCAATTCCTTCTAAAAGTAACAGAATGTATTTTCAAATCCCTACTCCAAAGCAAGTCTTAAGTTAAATAAAAAAGAAAGAAAAGAAAATTCAAGTTAACTATTCATGAGACATTCAAGAATAAATTCATACTCACCCTACCACCCCAAAAGAAAAACAATCATATTTTTAAAAAGCATACAATGGATGCTATATTATATTTTACTATCAAGAAAAAAAGTAATCTAGATTAATCCTGTAGGAATAAGAGAGCTAATGGAGAAAAACAGTACCTTAATATTTAAACAAATGAGTAAGTAACTCAACATAAAGGTAGCAAGTAAAATTGACAGAAAAAAGCAAAAAACAGATGTATACGAATAAATGTTTAGAAAAATTTAGGAATATACGTGAATGAAAGGCTAACTACCAATAAACTAATCCAAGAATACTTTGAAAATGTAATCAAATACTTTAGTAAAATGTTGTTGAAGACCTGTTAGGATACGTATATTTTCAGTAACCACTTATCTACTACCTTTAGAAAATACATGAACAAATATAGGCAAATTGATACATGAATTTAAATATAAGAAATTTTGGGTACAAGCTACTGATCATGTATGGCTTTGGAAATAATGTTTTAAAAATGGAGGTATAGTTATATACAGAAAATAATTCTACATCTGTTAATTTCCAGTTTTCCTCCTCATACTTTAAGTAAAAGAAATATAAGGAAAATTGTACTGAGACTATAAATGAAATGTCCATATAAGCTGAGAAAGGATTAGAAACTACTCAGGAAGGACTGTCAAATGATACCCTACATACTGGATTAGAAACACACCTTTTGAACAGGAACCGGCTCAGGCTTGAGTGTAGCAGATGCTCTAGGGAAAAAAGGAAAAGAAAAAGAAAAAAAAAAAAATGAAATTTTACAAACCTGCAACTTTCTTAACACAGAATTTTTACTAGTTTGTATCTAAATACACTAAATTAGAATTTATAGTTTCATAATTCATATGTTTTGACTATTTATAACCTACTTAGTCCCTGTAAGTCTAATGCTACAAGACTCAGTACCTTATAGTTACTCATTAGTTACTTCCGGCTCTAAAACTCAGTTGAGGAAAAACAAACATCAATCCTGCTTGCTACTGCACCCATGTTATATTCTTAAACTAAAGGTATTCCTTACCTAAAAAGACAAAGTATAATATGATTTTCTGATTCTAGAATGCTTTCTCAACTATGTAAATTTCCACCTTCAATAGGATCTGCCTTTTCTCCAAACATCCATGAACAAATCTTTGTGAGGATACTGAATACATTGTTTGAAATGGGTCACTGAATGAGTATTCACATTTATATTCTTAAGTGCTTGTGCAAATTAATACATTTGTTATAATGAAACTAAACCCTAAAGTCTTCCACTAGGTTATAATTTCAGTGAAGGCAAAAAACATGTTTTATTTTGTTTGTGTCTCAGCACAATCCCTGACATGTAATAAATAATAGGTCATCAGTAATGAGTATGAGAAAGAAGGAATAAAACTAAAATTCATTCACACAACCTGAAGATTTCTGCATTCAATCTAATTTTTTTATTATTTGTAGCAT